ACACACACACACACACACACACACACACACACACACACACACACACACGTTTTGCATTAGATCCTGGAAGCCTAGTATCTCTTGATACCTGCATAGCCCCTATACAACAAGAGGCTAGAGTGGAGTAGCTGCTACCCATGGATGGGGTATGTGTCCTATTTGTCACAGTTTCCATTCCTCTCCACTGTACTCCTTTACCCTCATTTGAAGCTGTCCCTTGTCATAATCAAGAAGAGGAACATGATCTTCCAAGTCTTCTTTTTTTTCTTGAGACAAAGTCTCACTGTGTAACCCTGATTGACCTGGAACTCACTATGGAGACCAGTCTGGCCTCGGACTCAGAGATCCACCTGCCTCTGCCTCCTGAGTACTGGAACTAGAAGTATGTGCTACTCCTGGCCTTCCATGCCATCTCTTAATTAAAACTGTTTCCCAGGCCAAGAGATATTTAATCATTCTTCCACCCCACCCCTACCTCTATGGATTCTAATAGCCCTGTGTCTGAAGAGCTTGGGTCATAGATAAAGAAGTAATACATTGAGCTCATGGAAAGCATGAAGAGCTGCAGAGAAGTCCCCTCTCCATCTTTCTCCTCTCTGTCTCTCTTGTTTATATTGCAGCATAACCTGCATGCCCGTGCACAAACGCACCTGTACACCATCACACCTGCTCACACACACATCTGCGTACCCTTACATTCTAGCCTCTACATGCTCTAACACCTAAATATCTGTGTACCTACACAGCCATGAATCAAATCCCCACACAAATATACACCTGGGCACCTGGACTCACACACGCCCCTACATCTTACCCCTATCCCTATATCCCTGTATGCCTATACACCCATGGCCCCATGTGACTGCATACCTGTGTACCTGCATGTCTGCATGCCCACACACCTGTACACTCACACATCCATCACACCTACATATCCAAGTGTCTGCACACCCACATCCCTGTGCACAGGCAGCTGCACAGCCACACACCTGTACACTCACACACCTTTATGTACACACGCCTGCACATGTATGCTTCTGCACACCCGCATGCCTGTGCATCCATACCTGCATACATGTGCACACATCTACACATTGGTATACTTGCACACACACATACACATACCTGTACATCTACACACCACACACCTGCATACTTACACACCCATACATCTGTATACCCACACACCTGCACGCACACACACCCCCCATCAACACATTTTTTTTCACAAAGCATATACACAGCTTTCCAGCCAGAGTTTCCAAGACTTGCTGGAAATATTCATGGCAAATAACAAAGATCTTTTAAAAGTATTTCTTCATTATAACACTAGTAATCGGGTAATAATGCTCTGGCGTTTTTAAAGCCCGTTTTTCCTTAGGAGGCCCATTTTCCATTTGTATAATCAAATCTTTATTTTATGACCCATTAAACTAGTAGGAAATTGGAAGGCTGCTTTGTTCAGATGCAAGAAAACAGAAGCATAAAACAGAAAAATAGGAAGCAATAGGAGCTGAAGCCTCAATATGCATATGGTTTACACTCATAACAATGTCCTGTTGGCAAATGAATGGTTTCTGTCATCTCCGGCCACTGAGGTCTCTGGGAGCCAGCAGAGGGAATTCAAATCCCTGGAACGTTTCTCAGCCCACATATGGAGCTCTTGGGAAGCCTATCAGAGACAGGAGAGCCAGGCTGCAGGGCTGGGACTTGTGGGTTTGCTGGGCTGAGGGAAGTGGGCAGGAGGTAGAGATGACACAGGCTGCCTCACAGCAGAGGCTCAGGAGGCAGATGGCGTGTGCACCTCCTTCTCCTGGCACTCACACTTGGCCTTGTGGCATGATGAGATCTGCTTTCTGGAGATCTTGGCCCCAGGTTGAAGTTGCATGGTAGGGGTCTACGTAATTGGGAATGGAGGCAAAGACAGGACGAAGATGGGTTAGTGTGAAACCCAGGAGCTTTCAGACAGGCTCCAGTCAGAAGTGAGGGGTGAGCATTTGTGCAGAGGCTGCAGCAGGTCCTCATGATCATCCTCTACGACCCCTGCATCCTTTGGGCTTTAGCACCCTAGCAGGTGGGAAACACATGCTGCAACTCTATGTCCCAGGACGCCTCTGTTCACTAAATAAAGGTGGAAAGACTGTCTAGGGTCCTGCCTTCAGATCACCTCTGTTGTCAAAGCACAACTCTGCCTCCCACCATGGCCCCAAGAGCCTCCTAGGACATGAACGTGCTGTTGACTGCCCACGGAATGTGGATATGCCTAGCTGTACAGAATATGCTCCAGAGAGTTGCCTTGGAGGTGTGTGGAAGGTTTTTCCCTCCCGGGAAATCCAATGGGATTGCAGCTCTGGACCCTACCTGGTTTCCATGGGAACAATTGCACCCTTGGCAATGCTTGGCGATTGAAGGCATTGTGGGTGGGAGAGTGGAGGAAGATGTTCTCTTCTTGCTTCTGTGGGCTGAGGCCATCTGGGAGTGTGTGAACCTGATTTTAAGGGATGGAAAGGTTGGGCACATCCTGGGCATCCCTGGGAGCTGTCACAAGCGTCTCTTGTTCCTGGAAGACTCTCATGTCCAACCTTGTGCTTGGAGTGGTGAAGATAACATCTGTCAGAAGTGGGAAGCAGAGTCCAAACCATACCTTTATTCAATAGTTGCCACTCTTGGCTCCTCCTCTGTCAGCAGAGCAGCGAGACCACATGCTCTGGAACTCATATGTCCAGAGGGTCTCTTCACAAGACCAGGGCATGACAGGGTGCAGTGGATCCAAGCCATGATCTATATTGCCGAGAAGATATACCAGGTTTTCTCTCTTTGCAGGATAAAGATTGAAGAGGAATATGCAAAGAACCTGGCTAAGCTCTCTCAGAACTCCTTGGCTGCCCAGGAGGAAGGGTGAGTTGGCAGGAAAGTGGTGAGGGTGGGAAGGATGAAGGGACACAGAGGGAGGGAGGGATCCTTACTCATATATCAGCAATACTGCTCACTTGGGATGGAGAGATTTCTGTAGGACTGGCTCATTCGTGGTCCAAGGTAGATCCTCATGACTTGAAGTAGGCATGAGTGCCTTAGGCAGGGTACCAATAACTCAAGGTGGGTACCCATGGCTCAAGATGACTTTTCACGGCTCAGGACTCAGACTCATGGTTCAAGACTGGTACTCAGAAGTAGGAGTTTTGGCCTCTAATCTGGTGGCTTAGAAATGGGAAATTATGGATTTCAGGCTAACATGGGCTGCATAGCAAGACCCTATCTCAAATAAACAAACAAAAATACTGGTGCTTGTGGCTCAAAGTGGGCACCATGACCTGAAGTCTGAGTATTCAAACTCCATGTTATCCCTTCTGCAAATTCATGTTCTTTAGTGACCTAGAATCTCTGAGGTGCTGGAGCATATCAGAGCCCCTCTGCACTGTGCCCTGTGACTGGACAGCAGCCTCTGGGTGCCCAGCTCTGTCCCTTTTCTTCTGAAAGGAAACTGAGTCTGAGATTTTCCTATCCAGTGTCTGAGAGTGCCTTCAAGAGCCCCAGGCCAGGCCTCATCTCCCTCTCCTACAGTAACAGTTCAAATGGGGCTAAGGGACACTCCCAACCCTCCCAGTCACTCAAGGATCTTCAGTAGGAGAAATCCTGCAGGGATAAACACCTTCTCTTCTGTCTGCAGAGCCCTGGCCCTCGTGATCACTAGTAGGCATGTCAAATGACACAGCCACTGTGGAAAATAGCTTGGTGTTTCTCAAGAGATAATCAGAGAAGTAATATATGTCACCACTCCTTCCAAGGTTTATACTCAAATGAGTCAAAAAAAAGAATTCAAACAAGCATGTTTGAAGTAACACTGTTTACAGAGGCTAAAAGGTAGAAATGACCTAAATTCCACAGGTACACAAACCATGGTGTGTTCACAATGGATACTCATGGATGTACAATTGGATATTATTCACCCATAAAAAGGAATAGAATACTGAGACCCATTACTATATAGGTAAACCTCAAAAAATGTGATGCTAAGTAAAAGAAGTCAGCAGCCTTGGGTCACAGGTATATCATTCCATTCATATGAAGTGTCCAAATAAGCAAAGCAATAGAGACAAAACCCATTAGTTAGTGGCAAAGAGGAAATTGGAAGGTAGTTATTTCCATAAAGGGTGTGTATATACACTGAGGCTGCTATAACAAAAATACAACAGACTGAGTCGCTTAAACTATAGGAATTTGCCTGTGCGTGAAGGTATACACATCTGTAATCCAAGGACTCAGGAGACACAGATGGAAAGATGATGAGTTTAAGGCCAACCTGTGCTACATAGTCAGATCCCTGTCAAGAAAAAGAACAGAAAAGGCTTCTATTTTGTCTCAGTTCTACAGACTGGGAGTCCGATCTCAAGATCCCAGTAGAGTCAGTGTCTGACATGGGCTCTCCTTCTCACTGTGTGCTTACATACCATCCTCTAAATGGGCTGGGGTGGGGCTGTGGGTCCTACAAGGACAATAATCCTATTGGATCAGGGCTTTGCTTGTGCTCTAACCTTAATTACTGCCACATCCCCATCTCCTCCACCAGAATTTCAAGATGGGAATCAGGTGGCTAAAGGGGAGGGAAAAATCATAAACTTTGCTTTATAACCCGGTGATGAAGGGTTTGGAGCCACCAAGGGTAGGCCATTCTCCACTGTGGACATTGTAGATACTTTTCAATCACTCCCCTTAAATTGAATAA